ACAGAAACAGATGGATAGACGAATGGAACAGAATGGAAACACCAGAAATCAATCCAAACATCTACAGCCAACTTATATTTGATCAAGGATCTAAAACCAATTCCTGGAGTAAGGACACTCTATTCAATAAATGGTACTGGGAAAACTGGATTTCCATGTGCAGAAGCATGAAGCAAGACCCCATACCTTTCACCTTATACAAAAATCCACTCAACATGGATCAAAGATCTAAATCTATGACCCGACACCATCAAATTATTAGAGAACATTGGAGAAACCCTGCAATATATAGGCACAGGCAAAGACTTTAATGTGCTGTCTGCACATTAATGTTTATTGCAGCTCAATTCACAATAGCTAAGACCTGGAACCAACCCAAATGCCCATCACCGGTAGACTGGATAAAGAAATTATGGGACATGTGCTCTATAGAATACTATACAGCAGTCAAAAAAAAATGAAACCCGGTCATTTGCAACAAGATGGAGGAATCTGGGAAACATCATGCTGAGTGAATTAAGCCAGTCCCAAAGGGACAAATATCATATGTTCTCCCTGATCGGCGACAACTAACTGAGCACCAAAGGGGAAACCTGTTGAAGTGAAATGGACACTATGAGAAACAGTGATTTGATCAGCTCTTGTCCTGACTGTTGATGTACAATGTAATACTTTATCCATTTTAGTATTTTCTCTTTGTTTTGTTCTAGTACTATTGGTTGAACTCTGTAAGTAACACACAATCATTCTTAGGTGTTTAAATTTTAACTGAAAAGTGATCCCTGTTAGGAATCTGGAAAACATTATGCTGAGTGAAATAAGCCAGTCCCAAAGGGACAAATACCATATGTTATCCCTGATCGGTGACAACTAACAGAGCACCAAAAAGGAAACCTGTTAAAGTGAAATGAACACTATGAGAAACGGTGACTTGTTCAGCCCTTGCCCTGACTGTTGATGAACAACTTAATACGTCATCCCTCTTAGTATTTTTTTTGTTTGTTCTACTTAATACTTTTGGTTGAATACTGTAATCAATACACAGTTATTCTTAAGTGTTGAAACTTAACTGAAAAGCAATCACTGTTAAATATAAGAGTGGGAACAAGAGAGGGAGGACACGTACAATTTGGGGCATGCTCAATCCGACTTGCACCAATCGGTAGAGTTAGAAACGTGCCAGGAGATTCCAATTCAATCCCATCAAGCTGGCATGCACCAATGCCATCTCACTAGTCCGAGTGATCAGTTTCAGTTCACAATTGATCATAATGAAAGGATTAAGAGTCAAAGGGATCACACAAACAAGACTAGTGTCTGCTAATACTAGCTGAAAGAATTAAGGTGAGAACGATCCAACATGGGAAGCGAGATACACAGCAGACCCATAGAATGGAAGATGTCCTAAACAGCACTCTGGCCTCAGAATCAGGCCTTAAGGCATTCAGATCTGACTGAAGATCCCATGAGAGTATTTTAGGTATGGAAAGCCAAGACACTCTGGCAAAAAAAAAATGACCTAAATGAAAGATCTCTGTGAGTGAGATCCCAGTAGAAAGAATGGGCCATCAAAGAAGGAGGTACCTTTCTCTGAAGGGAGGAGAGAACTTCCACTTTGACTATGACCCTGTCTAAATAAGATCAGAGTTGACAAACTCAAAAGGCTTCCATAGCCTTGGCAACTCATGACAAGAGCCTAGGGTGATTACTGACGCCATAAACAAGTGTCAATTGTTAAGTCAACAACAGGAGTCACTGTGCACTTACTCCCCATGTAGGATCTCTGTCCTTAATGTGTTGTACAATGTAAATGAATGCTATAACTAGTACTCAACAGTACTTTACACTTTGTATTTCTTTTTTTTTTTTTTTTTTTAACAAGTGGTAGTCAATTTATTAAAACAGTCGGTTGGCTTAGGCATCTGCAATGGTGACTTCAACTTCCACTCCCGGCTCAATGCTGATGGAAGTGATCTGTTTCACAATCTCAGAAGGGCTGTGCAAGTCAATGAGCCGTTTATGGATTCGCATCTGGAAGCGGTCCCATGTCTTAGAACCTTCACCACAAGGGGTTTTTCTTGTAGTGATTCGCAGTGTCTTGGTAGGCATCCGAACAGGTCCTTTCACTTTCAGATTCTTCTCCTTTGCTCCTCTGATCAAGTCAGCACACACCTTCTCCAGGGACTTGACATTGCGACTGGTCAGGGTGATCCTAATTCGGTGAATGGCCACCTCTGGTTCCACGGGTGTCTTTCCGGTGTCTTTAAAAGCCATGGCTGCGGCGCGGCTTTCTGACCGACTTGTTCCTCGGCGAGAGCGAACAGCGGTGAGTCAGGAGCAGGAGCGGGCGCAAACACGCTCCGCACCTAATGCTACCGCGTCGTCTTCAGAAAAAAGTACACTTTGTATTTCTGTGTGAGTGCAAACTGTTGAAATCTTTACTTAATATATACTAATTGAAAATGAATCTTGATGTGAATGGAAGGGGAGAGGGAGCGGGAAAGGGGAGGGCTGTGGGTGAGAGGGAAGTTATGGGAGTGAAAAAGCCACTGTGAATCAAAAGCTGTACTTTGGAAATTTATATTTATTAAATAAAAGTTAAAAAAATAAAATAAGTATAAAAATTATTCTATGAAATATACTTGACAACACAATATGTTCCAGATCTTGTAAGTAACATAGATCTAACATGTTTTTATAAAGATGAGGGAGAATCCAGTTTATTCTGAAATATTAAATGGTCATTTCTATAACAAGCAAAGCTATTATTTTTATTTTCTTCTTTTAGCTGGTCTATATATCCAATTTTCAGCAATAAAATTTTGTAACAAGAAGAAAATTAGTGGAACTAGTCTCTAGGAAATGATTGTATTATTCTATTTCCCTTTCAGTCTAGGACTTCAAGTGAAAGGCAAAGGGACTGAATAGTACATTCGTAATTCCATTAATCTGACAGAATGAAAGTTACCAAACTGCGGTCCAAATAATCAAACAGAAGTATTCTTTACAAGAATTATACAAGCACTTTCCAATAGAACTTTCTGTAAAGATAGAAATGTTCTATAATTTGTCTAGATAAGTAATGAAGGGGTAGGAGTGAAAGGGATGAAGATGGAGAAAGAGATTCTAAAAGAACTCAGAAAAAAGTGTAAAAAATATATTTGTTACCTTTAGTATCATGATGGTTTCAAATCTTAGTTTAAATTTGTCAATGTGTACACTCTAAATATGTATTATTTATTTTACTTCAATTATACCTCTATAAAGCTGTGTGTCTGTACACACAGCATGCACACAAGCATGTTAGAAATGTGTAGGAAAATCACTGTTAAAGATTTTGCTTCAGGGTTCATAATTGGAATTTCTGGTTCAAGGTCCTATTCTTTGTCAATCCTGGAATTCAGGAATGTCAGAACATTAATGGAAATCAAAGGAAACTGGAGCTACATATTTTCTGGCTGGAGACACAGAAGAGGGAGCAGGGACCAGATCACATAGACTAAGTAGGTAAGTACAAAGAATTTGTTAGTTCTAAATAAGAATGTAAAAGAAAACCAATGGGGTATCTAGTCAAGTATATCATTTTCAGAGCTGCTTTTATGGTTGCTTTTGTAGTGTTTATTTATTTAGATAGTACAGTCCTATGTTCAAAAGCTCAATATATATAAAAATGTATGTGATAGAAAACCCTATTATTGCTATGTAACAAATTATCCTCAAAATATATTGGCTTAGAACAAAAAGCATTTATTATTCCACAGTGTCTGTGGATTAAGGATTCAGAAGTGACTTGCCTGGGTAGTTCTGTTTTTGGGTCTCTCAAGAAGTTGCAGTCAAGACACAGGCCAGGACCCCAGCGTCTGAAGGCCTGCCTAGGGTAGATAAACTGCATTGAATTTGGGCCACTCATCGGGGCTGTTTCTGGAGGCACTAGTTCCTCAATACCTGGACCTCTCCATAAAGCTGATTTGTCGCGCTCACACCAAAGATAGCTCCAGAGCTAGTAACCCCAAAAGAATAAGATGGAGGTTATAATATTTACAGTGAAACCTCCACAGTCAGATTTCATTATTTCAGCAATATCCTGCTTTTTCACAAACTAATCCCATTCAGTGTATGTGTGTGTGTGTGTGTGTGTAGGGGTGGCAGATGGCATACCATGAAGGGGGAACTATCAGGAGCTGGAAATCACACTGCCCATCTTAGATGTTCACTGTCCCAACCCATCCAACTTTGTTTTTTCCAGAAGAAAAAAGCAATATATCATCTTTAATGCAACTCCTTATCATCAAAAATCAATCCACCTTTGAAATCCTATTAAAAACTCAATCTTTCCTGGGCTCTTTACATTGATCAGAAAATATAATCTCTCCTTCCGTGAATCATTAAAAATAAGAAACAGAAAAGGAAGAAAATTTCAAGTAGGAGACAGTGTTGGGTTTGGTTTTGAGCATCTTGACTTTGGGGCATCACCTGGACAGCCAGGTGAAGCCATCACAGAGGTAGCAGTCTGATGAGTAGATAGGCAGGCAGTTATGAGGCTAAAATGGGAGCAGAAGGGCTAGACTTTAGACTTACAGATTTTTAAAGCACTAATTTTACATATAGGTTTTAAGGTCACAAGCTTAAATGTAAACATGAAAAAAATTATCAAGTTGGGTTATGAAGTGGAAAGATAGTCCAGAGAGCCAATGAGCAAGAGGAGTCCAAGAATGATCGGTCATTGAATAAAAACTTCTTCCAGCAACCACGATGTGCAGAAGGAAGACAGGAATAAACAGGAAGATCAGGTAAATGAAAACAGCTCATAATAACAATTGAGAAGTTTCTAATGATTTTAGCCAGGTAGAAATCATTCATGGCATTAAAAGGGTGGTAAAGGTAGACTGCAGTACATTGAGAAATGAGTAGGAGTTTTGTAAGAAGAAATGAGGATTACAGTCCCAGAATCAGCTTTGTGATGTGAAGCCTTTATGATCACACAGGGCCCTCTCCCCACACCTGATTCAACACTCTGGGATTGCCATCTTGAAACTCTTAACCAATTTTTAACAAGCAGTTGTCTTATACTTTCTTTTTGTACTGGGCTCTGCTTGTCCATTGTAGACCCTATGTTGAAGAAGCTTGACTAAGCCAAGAAAGGGAAAAAAGACAGAAGACAGCATGGACTCTTCTACTTCATTATTGAGGTAGGTGTTTTGGTTGCTGTTGATATTTTTATTTTAGGATGAGAAAGTCTTACAGGCCTAGGAAAATATGGCAGTTGAGGAGGAAAGTGGTTCAAACACAAAAGGAAAAGGAGATTTGAGTAGGTGATAAATAAATAAATAGCAATGAAAAAGAAGATAATGAGAATAGTGGCATCTAGGTGGATACCTCATCCCAAGACCAAAGGGAAAAAGGTGAAGATAGGAAGGAAGAAAGAGAGTTTTGATGTGAAGACTGTATTTATCTCAATGCAAGAAAAATAAGCCACCTGTTCAGAAGGGAACCGAGGTTGGGTAGAGTTTGGTAAGATAAAGAATGATTAACACCTAAAGGAAATAAGAGAGAATGTTCTCACAAAAGTAGGTAAAAGGGTTGAATGTTAAATTGAAAGCACAACTAATATTTTATTATGTTACATAGAAGAATCTCAAAATAATTGAGTAAAATAAGCCAGATATAAGAAGGAATTGATAGTGCATAATTCCATTTTTATAGCACTATACATGCAAGTTAATCTATAGTGATAACAGACCAATATGGTTGCCTTGGGATAGGGTGGGTCCAGAGAATATGCTGACCACCTTGATTGACATGACAGTCTCTTGGCTATATATATATCTGTCAACATTTATCAAATTGACATACTACATATAGCACACATACTGCAATAAAGCTATTAAAAACGATGGGTTCAGTTCAAAGTTTTTCTTCCAGTACAACTATACCATACTTCTGATTGATTCAGAGTAATGAATTATCTCTGCTAATGTGGACAGGTGTAAATCAGTGATCCTGGACACTGCACCTTGTGGTATCTGATGCCTGGGTGCACAGGGAGATGAACATCATGTAGATCAGGCACATTGTAAGGTGTAATTCTTCTCTGTGATGAGAAAAATTCCTCCCTTTTTGGTTACAGAATGAGGGTAGTTCCTCTTCCTTACCAGCCAACATGCCTGTGTAAACACCAAGAATCAAGGAAAAGAGCTATAACCCCACACAAGCAACTGGCACTGTCCCGTCACCTTTTGCTTCATTATATCCATCTCTATGTCTGTTTTTTAATAACTTCCTGCAGGGCCAGAGGCAATGGGCCATCTTATCTCAAAGTGAGAGCCCCTACCTGGGCCCCGCATACCACCCATACTTCTTTTCTTGCTTTTCCTCCCCTCTTTATCTGCCGCTGCAAATACCTGCTACATAAATAAACTTCCTTAATTAATTCTATTTTGAGTATACCAGCTGCTTTCTGTTGGAATCCTGATAGATACATTGTGTAATCTCAACATACTCATACAATCTATGCAAAATTACACCAATCTAAATTAATGTTGCAAACATCAAAAATTATAAGTAGCATTCTCCATTTTAAAGAAAAGATACTATGATTATCAGTTAGTAAATCCCTAAAGCTGCTTTTGTTTAATTTCTATACGGACATTCTGTTTACTCACATTACTAACTTATTTTTTTAAAGATTTATTTTTTATTTATTTGAAAGTCAGAGTTACACAGAGAGAGAAGGAGAGGAAGAGAGAGAGAGGTCTGCTGGCTCACTCCCCAGTTGGCCGCAACAGCCGGGGCTGCGCCAGGAGCCAGGAGCTTCTTCCGGGTCTCCCACGCGGATGCAGGGGCCCAGCTTCTACTGCTTTCCCAGGCCACAGCAGAGAGCCTGACCAGAAGTGGAGCAGCAGGGACTCAAACCAATGCCCATATGGAATGTCAGCACTGCACGTGGCAGTTTTATCCACTACGCCACAGTGCCAGCCCCCACTAACTTATTTTTAAAACAACACTGGCAAATGATTGATTATGCTCACTCAAGAAACCACATAAAATTCTCTTTAAGACATTGAATGTTCTACAGAAAAAAAACCATGGAATATTTCATGCTTGCTTTAATGATAATATGAGGAATCAAAATTAGAAAACTGAAATATAATTTCTCAAAATGGTCCTCATTCATCTAAGTGTCACTTGCCAAAAATACTTAAACTAGTTTCTTTGCCTGCAATCTCTCAACTCTGCAATTCATTCTTCAGACTACTGTCAAATAAATATTTGTTGAGCATTGCTCTATGCCCTAGGGATGCAACAGATACTATAATTATTCCTTCTAAAAATCTCCACTGACTTTCCACTGTTAAGAGAAAAAAGTTCAGGGCCGATGCCATGGCTCATTTGGTTAATCCTCCACCTGCGGCGCCAGCATCCCATATGGGCTCCCGGTTCTAGTCCCAGTTGCTCTGCTTCCAGTCCAGCTCTCTGCTGTGGCCCAGGAGGGTAGTGGAGGATGGCCCAAGTGCTTGGGCCCCTGCACCCGCACAGGAGACCAGGAAGAAGCTCCTGGCTCCTGGCTTTGGATCGGTGCGGCACCAATTGTTGCGGCCATTAGGGGAGTGAACAAACAGAAGGAAGACCTTTCACTCTGTCTCTTTCTCTCACTGTCTATAACTCTACCTGAAAAAAAAAAAGAAAAAAGAAAAGAAAAGAAAAAAGACAGAGAGAGAGAAGAAAGTCCAGGGGTTGGTGCTATGGCATAGTAGGTTAAGTTTCCACATGTGGCGCCAGCATCCCATATGGGTGTCGGTTTGAGTCCTGGCCACTCCACTTTAAATACAGCTCCCTGCTGATAGCCTGAGAAAGTAGCAAAAAATGGACTGAGGCCTTGGGCCCCTGAACCCCTGTGGGATACCCAGAAGAAGCTCCTGGCTTTGAATCTGCCCAGCTCTGGTCAATGTGGAAGAGGAGCGGCTAGGACTAGAACCAGCACCCATATGGGATGCCAGCACTTCAGGTCAGGACTTTAACCCACTGTGCCACTGTGCCACAGTGCCAGCCCCTTAAATCATTTTTATACATGAGACATTCTCCAGCATAGGCCATATATTGTGCCATAAAACAGCTTAATAAATGTAAAAGGAATTAAATCATATGAAGTATGTTGTTCAGATAAAGTACAGTGTGTAATGAAATTAGAAGCTAATAACAAAGGAAATTTGGGAATTAAAATAAATGTGGAGGGGCCGGCATTGTGATGTAGTGGGTAAAGCCGCCGCCTACAGTGCTGGCATCCCATATGGGCGCTGGTTCGAGACCTAGCTGCTCTGCTTCTGATCCAGTTCTCTGCTATGGCCTGGAAAAGCAGAAGAAGAATGCCCAAGTCCTTGGGCCCCTGCCCCTGCATGGGAGGCCTGGAAGATGCTCCTGGCTCCTGGCTTTGGATCAGCACAGCTCCAGCTGTTGCGGCCAATTGTGGAGTGAACCAGTGGATGGAAGACCTCTCTCTCTGCCTCTCCTCCCTCTTTCAAATAAATAAATAAATACTTTAAAAATAAATAAATAAATAAATAAATGTGGAAATTAAAAACACATTTCTAGGCCGACGCCGTGGCTCAATAGGCTAATCCTCCGCCTGCAGCACCGGCACATCGTGTTCTAGTCCCGGTCGGGGTGCCGGATTCTGTCCCAGTTGCTCCTCTTCCTGTCCAGCTCTCTGCTGTGGCCAGGGAGTGCAGTGGAGGATGGCCCAAGTGCTTGGGCCCTGCACCCCATGGGAGACCAGGAGGAAGCACCTGGCTGCTGGCTTCAGATCAGCGTGATGCGCCGGCCGCAGCGTGCCAGCTGTGGCAGCCATTGGAGGGTGAACCAACGGTAAAAGGAAGACTTTCTCTCTGTCTCTCTCTCTCTCTCTCTCTCACTGTCCACTCTGCCTGTCAAAAAAATTTTTTAAATAAATAAATAAATAACACATTTCTAAAAATTAATGAATTAAAATAAAAACCCAACACACCACAACTTACAGAATCCAGTGGGGAATTTAAAGCTGTAAATCTCATTCTCTCTCTCTCTCTCTCTCTATATATATATATATATAATTTATATGTATAAATTTTGTATACATGTTAATATGTATAACTTTATATACATATTATTTATACATATATTAAACTTTTAAAAGCAATAGCCTTTATCAAATAAGAGCACAAAAGAGAAATACAAGTTCATCTGGAGGATAAGGAAATATTTTCAAGGATGAAACATGACCTGATAGAATTCAAGAAAAAGAAAAAATTAAAAGACTTAAAAAAAGAAAATTTTATGAAAGCCCAAAGAAGTACCTTTAAGACAAAACAAAGTTTTTGGGAGTACACTCCAGGAGAACCCAGAAACACAGTACTGCACGGCCTAGGAAATCAATGACAGAAACACAAATAGTTGTTTAATGGTATAAAAAATAAATTTGAGGGGACAGCACTGTGGCGCAGAAGGTTAACGCTCTGGCCTGAAGCACTGGCATCCCATATGGGAGCTGGTTCGAGACCCGGCTGATCTACTTTCGATCCAGCTCTCTGCTATGGCCTGGGAAAGCAGTAGAAGATGGCCCAAGTCCTGGGGCCCCTGCACCTGCATGGGAGACCTGGAAGATGTTCCTGTTTCCTGGCTTGGGATTGGCACAGCTCTGCCACTGTGGCCAACTGGGAGTGAACCAGCAGATGGAAGACATCTCTCTCTCTGCCTCACCTCTCTCTGTGTAACTCTTTCAAATAAATAATTAAATCTTTTAAAAAATTGAAGTAATTGTGTGAACTTAGATTTATCTACAATTGATAATAGAAATCTCACTACAAGGAAGTAATTGTCTGGACAGACCAAGGCTGATAAACCACTGAAAAGATCATCAGTGGAGAGCACAGAATTGAGAAGGGAAAGGCTACGTGAGCAGGATTACAACGGAGTTTTTCTTAAGTCATACATCATTTTTAAGAAAATATTAGAATTTAACAACAGGACCACAGCAAAAAACTACCATTTAAAAATTAATAATAACAGGCCGGCGCCGCGGCTCACTAGGCTAATCCTCCGCCTTGCGGCACCGGCACACCGGGTTCTAGTCCCGGTCAGGGCGCCGGATTCTGTCCCAGTTGCCCCTCTTCCAGGCCAGCTCTCTGCTGTGGCCAGGGAGTGCAGTGGAGGATGG